TTCATTGACCGGCAAACGAAATAAAAATTGCAACAGCTACTTCAGCGCGAATGCTTCATTAAACAGCAACAACAGCAGCAACAGCAACAACAACAAAAGCAATATGTACAAGGGCAATAGACAAAGTTCCCGGGCCACAAATTACACTTGGCTTGGCACAGCACAAAATGGCGTAAAAATTGCAGCTGCTGCTACCAGGAGGCAAAAATATTATTGAATGTGTGTGTGTGTGTGTTTTTGTGTGCTTGCCTGGCTGCTGCCTCTGATGCTTTCTGTATTTTTTATGATGCTTGAAAATAAATAAACACTCAATACCCAATGCCAAAGAGCAGACAGAGCAGAACTTACAGCAGCCACAGACAGCACCGACAGCAGCTACAGCACCGACAGCAGCAGAGGCGGCAACCGCGCACATTCAATAAATCTTCAGGCTTCTGAATAGTCACTTGAGACGCGGCAGTGGGAGAGTGAAAGAGCCAAAGAGCTGAAGAGCCAGAGAAGGGGGATAAGGGAGGACATTCGGCAAAAGAGCTGAGAGGAGCCTGCTACGATTTGAGCGGCTTTCATTTTCATTCCATAATGGCAATAATCGTGTGCCCAACTCCATAAGGATGATGATGATGTTGTGTCTGATAATGCTGCTCGAGTGTGTGAAAAACGCAGCCTGCACGTAGAGTCGTAGCGGATGTCTGGTCGGGTGTTACGGGCGCCAGAGCAGAGAGCAGGCCTCTAATAGCCTCACATGCTCCGCCGCACAATACATAACTCAGAGAGAAAGAGAGTGTGAGAGAACTAAGCAGCAGGACCACGACCAGAACTAGGAGCACGAGCCGGGAGCGCAAGGCCAATTCTGCACTTGAAAGCCAAAAGACTCGAGCCAAATAAACAAAACAAACAAAGTCCTCGCACAAAGTACAACAGAGCGTAGGAAGTGCTGGAGCAACGTAAATCAAACGGGGCGGGACCCAACGCTGCAAATATTCAATCTATAATGGCATTTACACCTCTTGAAACAGGATATGTAATATCCTTTTTTTGGGCGAGTCTTCGCCACGGCGAGCCTGAAATTTGTAAACTCACACAGCCCACTTGCCTATGGCCAAACTTATTTTCAAATAAATATGGCGCTGGCCTTTTCACCAGGCCCCATAAATCTCAACAATTTCCGTTGTCTGCTGCGGTGCAGGGGTCACCCATCCAGCCCGCCGGCTAGCTAGTTGGCTTAGAGCGATCCGTTCATGGATTTGGTATTACAATTTATGCACACGGGATGTGCCTGTAACTCTTTGCTGCTTTATTTACTACTCGCATTTCATGGGGAGAGGGAAAACCTTTTGCGCCCATCCTTCGGCATATGCAAAAGAAAATCTTGTTAATGGATTTTGTATCGCAAATGCTAAAGGGTCAAGTGATTGTTAACAAAAATTAAAGTTGGAATCTAAGGCGGAAATTTTGATAAATTAAAAGCAATACTTAAGCTAATTCTACCAGGAAGTTTAATAATAGGCAACATTTATTATTAAATAACATGGAATAAAGGAATTTAATATTTATAGGAGCAATTGAAAATATTTATAATAAATTTTGGTATTTGTATAGTAAATAAAATAATAATATAATAATAAATAATAATATTAAGTAAAGTTAAGTATATTAAATAAAATAATAATATAATAATAAGTAATAATATCAAGTAAAACAAATCAGAATATTTTTATCAAAATGTTATGATATAAGAATAAAATATTTAGAGTTTCTAAAATATTTAAAATAGAATTCTCTTTGTGTAAGAATTAAAATTCATTAAATTAAATAACATAAAATATTTATAATTTTTGTGATTTATTTATCTATTATAAAAATTATTGTTTGGTAACGTACTTTCAAAAATTTATAATGCAAAAATCATTTAATTTACCAATTAAAAATTAAATATAATAATTAAAAATTTAAAACTTTATCTGACATAAAATTAATATTTTATTATTATTATATTTAACATCAAATAATAAATTCATTATCAAATTATAACTGATACATAAATTAAGATTTTAATAAAATTTATCCCTTTGTATATTCCGAAAATAGCTATTAGTCCGAATTTTCTTTCATATGCAAGTCAGTTTCATAGGCTGGCGTGTGAGTTGTGCCTGGGGGCAATCACATACCGAAATTTTGACAACTTGAACTCAACTTTGTGCCGAGAGTTGGGCAAATTTGCAAACTCAGCGCTGATGCAGCACGAAATGGAGCCAAGCGAACACTTTCATTCTGCCATCATCTTAGTAGTATATGCTACACCCACTCTCCCTCCCTCCCTGCCTCTCTACCACTACTCTATCTGCTCGTCTGTCACACAGTGTGTCACATAATATGGACAATCACTAACCACGCAAGTGTCAAACAAACAAAACGAGCGCAAGGCATCCACACCCGCACATGGTCACCCCATTTGCCAGGCTGGCAAAAATTTGCAAGCAAATCCTATTTTCGCATAAGGGGTGCACTCACTCAGAGACAGATAGATATAGCAGGAGCAGGACGAGGAGGAGGCAGGGAATCAGACGGCAGGAGCCACATTCGAGTGCTGCGGGCGGTTCAATATTCTTTTTCTTTTTTTGGCGCTGCTTCTTTGCCGGAGTCATGTGCTCATGTGTGTGGGCGTCCAAAGGGTGAAGCAGAGGGGAGGGGGTGAGTGGCAGGAGTCTACTTGTGGCAGCTGCTGTTGCTGCTGTGCACACATCAATCTCGCCCTAACTTTTGCAGATACGAATCTTTCATTTTCGTATTTCCGTTCAAATTTTGTGTAACTCAACTGGAACTGGAGAATGAAAAACGGCATCTTTCGCTCTTATTTTTACTGCTCTCCAACAGACAGACAGACGGACAGGCAGTCAGACATACAGTGAGTCAGTCAGTTGGTGGGGCAACGCAGACTCGATTGGCCATGGTGCCGCATTTTAATGCTGCCCCCGAAACACACTCGCATGTTGCCAAAAAGCAACGCCGAAGATGCCCTTCAAGACTTCCCATTGCCGTTGAGCCAGTAGCAAAGTAATGCAATCAATTCGAGTCAAAAGTAGGTAAAAGTTATTCACATCGTTATTTCGTGTACATATTTTGGACTTGTAAGAGACTTACATATACAGCTGCGCCTCATCAAAATAGCAAAAGGGCTAAGTAGAAGTTTTAATTCAATATAAACATATTTAATAATATATAATATAATGTAATATTTCTTTCAAATTGTTTTCATCATTTTCAGTTAAGATTTAGTTGATCAACACTATTTTTTGCTTACTTTTATATATTTTATTTAATTTATTATATATTTAATTTTCATTCCTTTTCATTTTATATTTCTGTCAAATCGAATTGCTTTTGCATATTTTCTTGTTTTTTTTTTTTCTTCTGTATATTTATGTTAAACTCAATTAAATATGCATTATATGTATATTGGAAACTTCACCAAAACTAATTGCTTCTACATATTTTATTTTTTCATTTTATATATTTTTTAATATTAAATATTGTATTTTCTGCCAAATGCAATTTTTTTATACATTTTCTCCTCGGTTAGTGGGCGACTATGTCTGCTCGATTCCATCGCTCTCATTCTTTCTCTCTCTCTCTCTCTCTCTCTCTCTCTCTCTCTCTCTCTCTCTCTCTCTCTCTGTCTCTCTCTCTCTTTCACCTCTTGCCATCAAATTTAAATTTCTTCATTTGTTGGCAAGTTCAAGCGCCAAGTCCAATATATTTTTTTCAGCTTACAAATGGCTGTGTGTGTGTCTGTATGAGTGTATGTGCGTGTGTGTACGCCTCTGTCTGTGTAATGCACTAAAATTCAGGTCATGTGCGACCAAAAGTAAGTGGATGCGTTCTTATCAGCGCATACAAATGTTTTATCTCGCTCGGCGCGTGTGCAAGGCATCCTTTTCTGTGGCTGGCTGCCCGTCTGTCTCGCCGTCTGTCTGCTCCTTCGTTCAAAATTGATCAGGAGCGCTGTGATATAGTGAAGCCAAGGCTGCTCCAAAGTCAACAAAAGAGCACTCAATACTCTAGTCTATATACACTCCACACACACACACACACACACACACACACACACACACACACACACACACACACACA